TCACCGACCGCATTATAAAGCGTGGATCATTCTTATTTGCAATTACAAAGTCGTCATATATATCCGATCCGTTCAATAGGACAGAATCCATATAACCACAGCGTAGTTTTACCCGATGTCCGTTTAATTCAAACACGATTACGGATCTTGTATTATCCTGTCCTTCTTGCACGGGGCTCAGGGCCGCAGCCGCCTGTTGTCGCCGTTTTCGACGTGCTTCAATCAACCATACTGGATCCTGGCCTTGTTTACGACGATAATAGTTTTTTCTTCGCACAGCCACCATCGGATCGCGGTATCGGTAGGTGCTCAACGGTACAGCACAGAAGGCTACTTTATTCAAACTAACTGGACAAAATTTCACATACGCGTAACGTTCGGAACATTGAGCTCCACGGGACACATAGACCGAGACCGGTTTGACTTCCAGCTCGTCCAGGAGGAAACGCACACGCATCAAGTCTTTTTGTACGCGAACCACCAACGAGGCCCGATTAGGTTCTGCATTGTAAGCACCCCGTTTTACGTCGGTCGGTGTTCCCGAAAGATTTTCTCCGCTTGAGGCGTTATTGTCGTGCATTGTCTGACCGATGTCTACTTCCATAGAATCCGCTGTAATGAGAAACATCATTCCGTCTTTTTCCACGTAGATTTCATTCGGTGGAGTTTTATCTTTGTTGACTGGCTTTTTACGTCTTCCTCTTGTCGGTTTGCCAAGCGAACAGGTTTGCTCACTGTTCTCTCCGTCACCAACCTGCGAGCATGAGGCGATTCGATAACGTTTCATGCGCATGACAAATTTCTGTGATCGCAAATCTCTAACTTCCACAAAATAATCTGTTGAACAAGCTTGGCTCCCCTTGTGAATCGGACTGTCGGGTGATTTGCGTCGATGTACATAGGGAAAATAAAATTCCGGGTCCTTTGCCCGAAAAGTCAGCTGATATCGTTTCCCTTTGTTCGAAATCATGTTGACCCGACTGAATGGCGTCGTTGATTCCAGTTGACTTGAATCTTGCGTAGTGACCTCATATGGGTTTGCATTGTTTATATAAAGTGTCGGCTGGAATTCTTTCTGATTTTGTTGGACCAACGCGTTGTTTACGTTAAGTGGTCTAATCCGGTTGAGTCCGTTACGTGACTGAGCGAAAGCATTGGTGACGCGGTCTGAAAAGCACACGCGTCTCGTTCCCAATTTTACAGCTGACATGAAATGTTTATAACTAATATATCCTGCTCATACAGCCTCTTCCTGATAATCACATGACACTGATCATTCAAACGGGTCGCGATCGACTAGTGACCGATTCCCCCCCCGTCATATAAAGTCACGAGACAGCCAAATGGCGAAGTGAGCTCCTTGATTTCATTCCCTTTCATCTGTGTGTGTAAGACATTGTTTCCCGAACAGTTTTTGAAACATTTATCGTAAAATGAAGTGAGGAAGTAGCATGGAATCAATGGATGATCAGGTTTAATCGAGTGGAATTCAATTAAGATGCAGATAAATAGATAGCGAAAACTTATCCTGTCACTTACGATTCCATTGGAAAGAATCTGAGAAGCACTAAATTCACTGTTTGGGTACCATTGTTCGGCTATCACAAAGACTTCCATCGCATGTGAATACTTCTGTTCATGTTTGAAAATGAGACATCAAAGAACTATGTGCTTCGTTATTATACTCATCAAAACAAAGTGTAACTAACTACATGGCAAAACGGATTCGAATTTGTGTTGGCCGCAGGTTTCCCTCTTTTGAACACAACGGGACATCGCTATCGGACCTACAAGGAGTCATCATCCAGTGATCGGCTCCCTCGACAGCATAGTATAATTTTATTGCTGCGATCTAATGTTTCGCGCATGGATATAGTTTTTTGATAGGACTTAATCAATTTATTTTGCTTAAAAAGTAAACTCTTTATGTAGAGTCAACGTACCACACATAACTGCGGTGTCTCGCAGACTTCTGAAAGCCCATGCCAATTATCTGGCTGATTAGCGCATCGGACTAGTATCCCCTCCACTATATGCCCAGTGTTCTCTGTGGGTATGCACTTATTTTGATTATGAACGGAGGAAACAACTCCACTATTTTGCCAATTTTTCCAGGATTGCTCACAGTATGTCTGGAGGCGAATGCCCGAAGATCATTTAATCAATCAACTAATCGAAAGCGTTTCACGCACTCCTCCCGAGCCCACCTCGACAGCCGTGCCTGCTTCTGTATAGAAGTCGGGTGATTTCAGTGGCAGTGACATGAAATTTCGCTAGGCATTTGGGCTCTCACAATTCGCACGAACGATCTAGGCCTGTCCGTCACAGTCGGAAGTGGAAGGCTTTCGATTAACTGATCAACTGATCGTTGGTTGATAATTTTCACATATACTGTATATCATCTCCCAAACGTATTTGACCCGCACACCAAACATGGTGAGGGGCAGTTTACCGGTCAAACCCCCCCGCTAGATGGACGTAGGAGCGGGGTACTTGGGGCTTCCACTCGACGGTGGGAGAAGTCTTCGCACTTCATTGGACAGCTACCGCCCGCCCAAGCTGGGCAGCCCCCAGCCAATAAGGCGCTGTCCCGTCCACGTTCCGCTTGTTTCATTGGACGCATGAGGCTAAGGGTCGGTCCCGAACAGCTGACCGATAATAAACGCACCAGCGAACAATACAACTAATCGAAATTCAAATGCCTTGCGTGACAGGTCTCTAGAAGCTCCCACACGGGTGCTTCGTTCACACTCCCCTGTTGGATTTACACCCCACTGTCTTGTGGGTCAGACTTTTGAGTCAAAGGCTCCGGTTAGGGTTCCCAAAGAAAACCCCCTTCATCGGTGTGGGCAACCGCGAAGTATGTCGTGCCCCCATGGGGAGGACCCTCCTTCCCATCTGTCTAGTTCTTCCTCTCAATCCCGAATAGTCCCAAACTCCTGCTGTTTACAAGACCCATCGGATATCACTCAGCGTTTTACCAACAAGTCCAAGCAATCAGAAGTTACAGGATTTTTGAAGCCGAAATTCTCTTTTCACCTAGCCGCGTTCAATGTCTGCACACTATCAGATCGGTCGACAAGCTGCCTTAGCTAGAACCCTTGAAACTTTCAATTTAGACGTTGTCTCCGAAACACGCATACAAGACCCACTTCCATTATCTCTCTGCGTTTCCCTGATCCAACCTCAACCTCCCGTTTCACCCTTCGTGTGTGTTGCTGGTGTCGGGATTGCGCTAAGTGCCAAGGCTGAACGCTTGCTTCTTGACTGGGTTCCAGTCAGTAACCGACTGTGCGCCATACGTTTCTACGGTTCAGCGCGGGTCAACAGCTACAGAATGAAGCGTCGATGTCTATTCATCGTATCGGTGTATGCACCGACCGATTGCAGTACACCTGAAATGAAGGATGAATTCTACAAGGACCTTTCTCGATTACTCCAAAGTGCTCGGTCAACGGACATCGTGGTAATCGCCGCAGACTTCAATGCTCAAGTGGGATTCCTGAACGAATCAGAGAGGCTTCTTGGTGGACCACATGCAATTCCAGCCAATGACGATCGCCTACTTCAACTCTGTGCTGAACACGGACTGTTCCTGTCAAGCACGAACTTCATCGATCTCCATAGATTACGTTGGTTGGGACATGTGTTACGCATGTTACCAAATGGGTTGCCACGGCGAGCGATGTTTGCCGAGGCAGGTAGTGGGTGGAATAAAGCCCAGGGTGGTCAAGCCAAGACCTGGCATGAGGGTATGAAAACCCTAACCAGGAGTCTGGGTCACATAGGTCCAGTTAGGCTTCCTGGATGGGGACCTCGGGATGGTCTGTCCGATAGTTAGAGACACTGATTGATACGGCTGGG